AGAATCAGACAGGAACAGAGAGCAGGAACAGGATATAGGGCCCAAGAGAAACACAACACCAAGGCTGAGTCTGCAGGTCTGAATGTCCCTTAAATACCCCAGTATAATTAGTTCCAGGTGTTTGACTGGCTGCAAGGTTGAGTCTCTGATTGCTGGGAGCACCCGCTGGCCAGCCCTGGTACTGCAGCTCATAAGGCAGCTGAGTCCCACTATTGCTGGCCAGTCCATTCCTGACAGTGCCATTGATACAGGTAATGAGTGCAGGACAGAGGAGCCTCTTAAAGAAGAAGGTACAGGTCTGTGAGAGCCAGAAATCTTGCTTGTTTGTAGGTGACCAAATACTTATTTTCCACCATAATTTGCAAATAAATTCTTTCCAAATCAACCAATGTGATTGTCTGAATTTGTTTTCCCATTTTGTCTCTCATAGTTGAGGTCTACCTATGATGCCAATTACAGGCCTCTCTCATCTCTTTAATTGGGAGAACTTGCACAAATGGTGGCTGAGTAAATCCTTTTTTGCCCCACTGTATATACACAGTATATATATATAGAGAGAGATATTTTGAATTTCCATGGTAGGGGCGCGCACGCAAAACACAGCCACACAGTGTAAAACAGCACACAGTTAACCCTTTGATCATGCCACATGTTAACCCCTTCCTGCCCAGTGCCATTAGTACAGTGTCAGTGCTTTTTATTAGCACTGATTTCTGTATTGGTATTACTGGGGATGTCAGTGACACCAAGTCAGTTCCTCCCAGTGCCGCAGTCTAGCTATAAATCGCTGATCTCCGCCATTACTAGTAAAAAATAAAAAAATAAAATAAAAAAAATCCCAGTATCTATACCGCCATTTGTAAATGCTATAAATTTCACGTAAACCAATTAACTTACATGTATTGGGATTTTTTTTTTAGCAAAGACATGTAGCAGAATACATTTTGGCCTAAATTTATGATGAAATTTGATTTTTTTTTTCATTTTTATTTACTAGACATGTTTTAATAGCAAAAATATAGTTTTTAATCTCTCAAAATTGTTGGTCTTTTTTTTCTTTATAGTGCAAAAAACTAAAAGACGCACAGGAAATTAAATACCACCAAAAGAAAGCTCTATTCGTGGAAAAAAAGGACATAAATTTAATTTTGGGTGCAGCGTTGCATGACTGCGCAATTGTCAGTTAAACTAACGCAATGCTGGAACACAAAAAAAATGGCCTTGTCAAGAAGGGGGGTAAATACTTTGGAGGGCAAGTGGTTAAACTTCTCTACAACTTTATCCCTGACCTGTCTGGTGTGTTCCTTGGCCTTCATGATGCTGTTTGTTCACTAATGTTTTCTAGCAAACCTCCTGAGGGCTTCACAGAACAGCTGTATTTATGCTGAGATTAAATTACACACAGGTGGACTCGATTTACTAATTAGGTGACTTCTGAAGGCAATTGGTTCCACTATATTTTAGTTAGGGGTATCAGAGTAAAGGGGGCTGAATACAAATGCACTGTAGGGAGCATCAGTGGAAAATGTAAATCACGTGATCTTGAATGGTACCTTTTAACAGACACTGGCGCACATGCTCGGCCTCGTAGCTAAGTCCTGTGCTGTTTGTAAAATGCATAGGCTTACTGGAATGTGGAAGGGGAAAATGCGTTTCTTTGCCATTGAGTATAACAGAGGTAGGGCACCACATGCACGAAGGAATCTAGCAAAAAGTAACATATGTTGATACAATTAATCACATACAGAATAAGCAGCAGCTACCAGTATGAACACATGCAGTCCAGTTATATATACTTGTCATTTGCAAATCAAAAGAGGAGATAGATTTGTAGGTGATACATATGGTGCACTTAAGTAGGAGGGGTACCAAAAAAGAGCAGAGTCCTGGAGCCCAAGGGAGTAAAGAAAAAAAGGTGTCAAAGGCAGGAGAAAGATCTAATAGCATGAATATGCAGTAGTGTTCATTGGTTTTAGCAGTTAGTAAATCATTAGTGAGTTTTAGCAGGGCAGTTTCTGTGTAGTGTTGTGGGCAAAAGCTGGACCATAAAAGATTGAGAAGGGTTGTTGTCAGTAAAGTTTTAGAAGTTTGTGGAAACAAGGAGATGGGTCTCAAGTTGTTCGGACTGTTGGGGTCCAGAGCTTTTTTTTAACTATGCGTGTGACCAGTGCATTTTTTTTTGGGGGGGGGAGGGGAAGATGGCATAAGAGATTGAAGAGAGATTGAAAATGTGGGTTAGAGAGTGCAGCCAGAGGGTGGCCATATTAATTGTGAGGACATGGAGTATGGAGCATGTTGTAGGAAGAAATTAGGAATCTAGAAACAAGTTTTTTTAAGACATTAACATACATTCTTGAGATTATTGAAATCAATCTGATCTAGTTTCATGTCTCTTATAAAAAAAAAAAACACTGTACAGACCACACAGCCCTTTTAATAACACATACCATGGCCATACTATGTTGTCACGTGAGACAGTTTTCTTTTTTTACAGAATGTAAATACCTGAATCATTCCTGTTGAGCCACAAATGGCTGCCTGGTTTGGCATTGCCACCATGATAGTGCAGGTCAGAATTGCTTGGCGGTTTCCTGAATATTGAAGAATAATTGTCACAGTTTCATCCACACCTATTGAGAGAAAGATGAAATGGGCAGAAATAGCTATGGCATGGTGATATTGTAAAGAGTACATTTTAATTAATATAAATGGTTGTAGTTTGCCAAAACTAATATGAGGATATATTAGTCATCCATTGTAGACAAATACCAGTGATCTGCATTCATACACTTACCAGTCTCATACAGAAAACCTTTGGCAGTCACTGATTCCGGCTTTTCACCTTTAAATACCATCAATGCAAACTGGAGACAGTAGCAGCCAATATCCAGCAGCCCCTCCTCCCAGCTCCTTTCTCACTGCCCGGGGGACATGATTCTGGTTAGAGCCAAATTCTGCCCGGACAACCTTTACATCCCCTATGGTCTTCTGGGATAAAAGGGAACGGATCTGATCATACACAGGAAAATATCGACTCCACATGGCCTGCAATACAAGAAATTATCCTTATAACATAGTTACATAGTTAGTCTGTAGTCCATCTAGTTCAAACCACAGAGAAAAAAAAACACTCAACACACAAATGGAAAACCCCCCATATACAAAATTTTATACGCATGGTTGATTCAGTGGAAAGCAAAACACCCCAATAAAGCATGATCCAATTTGTTCCAGCAGGGGAAAAATAAGTTCCTTTTTGATCCCCCAAGAGGCAATCGGATATTCTCTAGACTAACTTTACCTAAAATATATTAGTATCCATTTATATTATGTGCATTTAGAAAATAATTTACTAAAGTGGCCAGAACCAGTTCTTTAGGAAGTCTATTTCACATTTTCCCAGCTCTTACTGTGAAGAAGCCTTTCCGTATTTAAAGGTTAAATCTCTTTTCTTCCAGACATAAGAATGCCCCCTTGTCTTCTGTATTGACCTGAAATTGAATAACTCTGCACCAAGTTTACTATATGAACCACTTATGTATTTATACATGTTGATCATATCTCACCTTAACCGCTTGCAGACTGTTGTGTCATTGTTAATTGTGTCAGTTAGTGTACCCCCCAGCCAGCGTTAACTAGTGTTAGATTGCCCGCCACACTATCACAGTTCCACTATAAGTTGCTGATTGCTGCCATTACTAGTAAAAAAATAATAAATAAAAATTCCAGTATATATCCCATAGTTTGTAGATGCTATAACTTTCACGCAAACCAAACAATATACACTTATTGGGATTTTCTTTTACCAAAAACATGTAGCAGAATATATTTTGGACTAAATTTATAAAGAAGTTATGTTTTTTTTTTTATTGCATATGTTAAATAGTAGAAAAGTAAAAAATTTATCTTTTTTTTCAACATTTTCAGTCTTTTTTCATTTATAAAAAATAAAAAAACCCAGTGCTGATCAAATACCACCAAAAGAAAGCTCTATTTGTATAAAAAAAATATATAAATTTAATTTGGGCACAGTGTTGCATGACCATGCAATTATCAGTTAAATTAGTGCAGTGCTGAAAAGCAAAATATGGCCTGGTCATGATGGGGGTAAAATCTTCCTGAGGGCAAGTGGTTAATCTCCTCTTCTCAAGAGAGAATAAATTCAGTTCCTCTAATCTTTCCTCATAGCTGATCTCCTCCATGCCTCTTATCAGTTTGGTTGCCCTTCTCTGCACTTTCTCCAGTTCCCCAGCAAGCAATTATCCATAGCAGCAAATAGACAGAAAATTTAAAATTAAGCCTTGATATACATACAGGTAGCAAAGTACTATTTTCTACAAAGTTTTCTAGCTGTATATCTGGATATTGCTGTGTTTTACCAGGCCAATCAATAATCACCCCAGAAATCCCCCCCAGGGTTGTTATAGAAAAGAGCTCTTTTCCTGCTGCAGCCTTCTTTCTGTCTCTCACATCTAAGAAGGCTGATGTAAAAGGAAGAATGCAGTACTAAAAGGTTTCTTTTCAAGTCATATTTAAACCCATCTTAGAAGTTTGAATGATACAGGTGATACAGGAAGCAGAAAAAAAGTGGAATAAATAAAGGATAGGCTTCAGGAAATATATTCTCAGTGACTGTAGCTACAGGGAAGTACAGAATACTTAGATGGATTTTGGCATATATGATTGTGGCATAGGGGCATTTAAAAAGTCACTGCTTTGGCCTACACTTCCACCTCTCTATTGTATCAGCGGTTGATGGCCTCACAGACCAGCAGCATGGAATGATACATGTAAAGGCGCCAACTTCCTAGATAAATTGGTATGTGCATTATACAGCGCTTTGCATTTGGTGGTTACTAAGTCACAATGAAGAATCTGAAGGTACAGTATGTTCAGGTAACTTGAAAGCATTTTCATTTCTATTACCAGTTTAGACACTTGATTGTAATAGGTCTATTTTGATGCACCTTGACCAAGTGAATAGCAGTATATTTCCAAATCCATATTATAATAACCTGCAAAGAAACATGACTGCAAACTCTGTATCTCTTCACTCTTCCTCAAGGGAACACTCATAATGTGAAGACAATTTTGAGATCTTGTGTCTATGTGGCTGAGTGGGTTACATTTGCTCAGTCTATCATGAATGCTGCTGCCAGACTCATCCACCTTACTAACCGTTCCATATCTGCCATCCCTCTCTGCCAATCCCTCCACTGGCTTACCATTGCCCAATGAATAAAATTCAAAACACTAACAATAACATATAAAACCAATTATAACTCTGCCCCAAATTACATCACCAATCTGGTCTCCAAATATCACCCAAACTGTCCTCTCCACTCCTCGCCCAACCTCCTGCTCTCTAGCTCCCTTGTCTCCTCCTCCCATGCTCATCTCCAGGACTTCTCCAGAGCCTCCCCCATCCTCTGGAACTCTCTACCCCAATCTATCAGACTATCGCCTACTCTGCCCACTTTTAGGTGATCTCTGAAAACCTATCTCTTCAGGGAAGCCTATCCTGCTTTCAGCTAATAATGGAATGTTTTATTCCTCCTACCAGTCCATCCCCCACAGTTATTACCTTTTGTACCACTAGCCCCTCCCTCTTAGATTGTAAGCTCCAAGGAGCAGGGCCGTCCTAACCCTCTTGTATTGAACTGTATTTTGTTGCTGTATTGTCTCCCTTTATATTGTAAAGAGCTGAGCAAACTGTTGGCGGTATATAAATCCTGTATAATAGTAATAATAATGACAATTTGGTCAGCAAGTAGAACTTAGCTGTTAGTAGTGGAGCTGCTGACAGAATGTCCATTTACTGTATACAACAATAAAATCTCTCACCGAAGAAACTTAAAGTTCTATATTGGGATGCTAAATGGAAAACAGTGGACCTGTTGCTTCCAAGTACATTCTGGTATTTTGCATATTCTATTCACTTATTTTACAAACACTGCCATTCCCATTTAAATATTGTGAACTAAAACTGATCTGATCTGTAGGAATGCACCCTGAATGCAAAATATGCAGTGGGGGTTATTTACTAAAAACCTCTGCATAGAAACCAATCAGCTTCCAGGTTTCATTGTCAAAGCTTAATTGAACAAACTGAAATTAGAAGCTGATTGGCTACCATGTACAGCTGCACCAGATTCTGAGTGCTCCAGTTTTAGTAAATCTCCCTCAGTATGTCCTTTATAACTACATGCAGGACTGTAGTGAGGTATGTAGTCTACCTATGATCATTCACATATGTTGAAATAAATATTCATGTCAGCTTTTTTTTTTTAACAAATTTGAGACAATATTGGCTTTATAAGGTTTTTTTTATATAGATGAGTAGGAGATTTTAGAGTTGTCTAGGATTATTTTTTAAAATAATGTGTATTTTGCATGCAAAAATGCTAGATTTAATCCTTGAGTCAAATAGCGACTGTACACCTACAGTCTTGGCCAAAAATATTGGCACCCCTGCATTTCTGTCAGATAATGCAGCAAGTCTGACACATTCCATTCCAAACCCCAAAAATGGACTGAACAACGTTATTGGCACCTTCTCAAAATTGTAAGACATAATTGCATTCCAAGTTTGTGATGCTCCTGTAACTTGTATTTAAACTCACCTGTATCAATTAATATATCTTAATGTTCCTGTGTCCACTGTGCACAACATTATCAAGAAGTTCACAGCCCATGGCACTGTAGCTAATCTCCCTGGACATGAACGAAAGAGAAAACTTGATCAACGACTGCAATGAAGGATTGTTCGAATGGTGGATAAAGAACCTCAATCAACTTCCAGAAAAATTCAAGCTGACCTTCAGGCACTGGGTACAATTGTGTCAGCTCGCACTATACGTTGCCATCTGAATGAAAAGAGATGCTATGGTAGGAGACCCAGGAGGATCCCACTGCTGACACAGAAACATTAAAAAAACAGATTGGAGTTTGCCAAAACTTACCTGGGGAAGCCAAAATCCTTTTGGGAGAATGTATTGTGGACAGACAAAACAAAATTACAGCTTTTTGGTAAAGCCCATCATTCTGTTTTCAGAAAAAGAAAGGGGGCCTTTAAAGAAAAGAGTACAGTCCCTACAGTCAAACATGGTGGACGTTCACTGATGTTTTGGGGTTGCTTTGCTGCTTCAGGCACTGGATGTCTTGACCGTGTGCATGGTATTATGAAATCTGAAAATACCAAAGAATTCTGGGGAGCAATGTAGGGCCCAGAGTCAGCAAGTTGGGTCTCCGTCATAGGTCATGGATCTTACAGCAGGACAATGACTCAAAACACGTCAAAAAGCACCCAGAAATGGTTTAATACAAAGTACTGGAGAGTACTGAGCTGGTCAGCAATGAGTCCAGATCTTAATCCCATAGAGCTCCTGTGGAGAGATCTTAAAACAGCAGTTGGGAAAATGAAACCTTCCAATCTGAGAGACCTGGAGCAGTTGGTGGAAGAGTGGTCCAAAATTCCAGTAGAGAGGTGTAAGAGACTCACTGATGGTTACAGCAAGCAATTTATTTCAGTTATGTTTTCCATAGGGTGTGCTACCAAATATTAAATTGAGGGTGCCAATAATTTTGTCCAGTCAGTTTTTGTGGTTTTGCGTGGAATGTGTCAGATTTGGCTTTTTGTTTCTCCACTTTTTTGTGTTCTACCAATACAAACAAAGAAATAATCATGAGAATGCCTAAACATTTGTAATTGCAACAATTTTCTGAGTGAAGTGGTACATTATCTAACAGAAATGTTCTCATTTGTGCTGAAGGTGGGAGCACTTATTTAGCAATGAATTGTTGCAGGACTTAGTAGTGTAAGGAGCACTTTATAAACACGCAGATATGTTCCTTTTCCACAGTAGCTAGTGTAACACGCACATTGTGTTCAGAAAATGAATGTCCTAATTTGCCTTAAAGTGGAAGATATGGCTAACTAAATATTCTTAAAAATGCTGACTTCCCGTCCTCCTACCTATTCTGCATAGCCTGTGTAAAAAAGATCAGTGTAAATACATTCTTAACCCTGAGAGGTTTGGATATTCTGATAAAGGCTATTTTAAAGAGGAATCATGATGTAAGCATATTCAATAAAGTATTTTAAATTGTATATGTGGGTTTTACACTATGATTATTATTATTATGATTACTATGATTTATTCTATATATGGTGGGCATTGGTGGATTGGTGGAGATTCATGGTTATACTTGAAAGCTGCTATATCTGGATGACATCTTGATCTGATCCATGAGGCTGTGATGATTGTTTGGTTGAAGCAGAATTTGTGATAATACCCTCGCTGGGAGGTGTAAAGGCATATTATTTACATATTTTTGGTAAGGGTATTCACTCCTTACACTATAGAAGTGGACACAGTGTTTCACATGTTGTTTTTGGATGCATATTGTTCACTGGATTGATTCACTGGCACTATTTTGACACTTTCACTTTTTTCACTATTTGTGATCACGCATGGTTGTTTGCGTTTATCACATCTGTTTCATTTATATTTTACTTAAGATAATGCACTATGTGATTTTTTCTTTTTATGTTGAGGTTTCTTTGAGCCATTGAAAGGCTGAATATGAAGATTGATGATTGAAGTTGGCACAGAGTGACTTTTTATAACATTATTTATTTAATTTTATTTCTTATCTATTTTTGGACTGTTACATTCTGAATTATTTTCTTCTTTTAATATATTTGTGTGATATATACTTTTGGGAATATTGGTATTAGTATATTTATATTCACATTCTTAACCCCATCCGGTGCAGCCACATGATCGGAGAGGGACTGTTGTAGGGGAGAAAAGGGAGCACCAACAATGGAGGGGCAATAGGAGCCAGCAGGTGACTTCACTCTGGGTATTCAGAGCCACTGTCTCCCTTACATAGGGGAATCAGAGCTGCTGGGTCACGTGACTGCACTAGAGCAGGTTAAAAAAAAATGTATTTACACACATCTTTTTTTTTTCTTCAAACTATGCAGCATAGGTAGGAGGTCAGATGTTTTAAGACTACTTGAAGTTAGCCTTTACTACCACTTTAAAAAAATAAAAAAGTGACAGTTTAGCAACTACAAGCAGCAAGACAGGTTTGATAAGTGTCTCCCAATGTGTGCAGTTTTTAAAGCTTTCATCATTTTGTTCTGTTGCTTGATTTATTGCGAGTTATGCATCCCACTAGAAAGATTAAATGGCATATGTGGGCTGTAACCTCCATTAGGCATTTTGCTTTTTGATAAATACAAATACTTTCCTCAGACTGGTGAAGAGTTAGGAACTCCTTCAGGTTTTTCTTCCTTGTCTGTGTTGCCATTGGTGAAATTTCCTAGAACTTCCTGTCCTGCCTATAGGATAGAGGATCTAATCCTTCCCTAATTTATCCAAAGCTCAACAAAATTGAACTGGTTTTCCACAATAGAAGAACTGGTTCATTGCAATGATTTTTCAGGGGGAACTCTTGTAAACCAAGCCACAGTGCAATGGATCTGCTGACCACCAGACTATAAGCATCTGCTCAAACGTTCTCATGCGAGAAATCGGGAAAGGGGAAGAGCATAGTAATTTTTTAACATGACTTCAATTCTAGTGTACAAGTACATTTCATTAATTGATGCATTCATTGTTTTTTTTTATCTGCTTGGAGTTCAGTTTTAGACATTACCTCCATGAAGAAGACATTGTATTTCCTGGCAGCTGCTATGAGTTCTTTCACCTCTCTGGAATTCATGGCCAGGGGTTTTTCACATATGACATTTTTCCTGTGCTCCAGATACATCAGAACTACATCCCGATGGATGATATGCAGGACACCAACATAGACAATGTCTGCAAGTAAAGATAAAAAAAACCCTTAACTTAATCTAAAGTTGGACTATCTACCTTCATATTGTGAATGTCCTGGCATAAAATGACATAAAGTCACATTTCCCCAGACCTTATATATGCAAGCACTAGATCTTCATGGATCTTTTTTCATAGACATGTTCATGGATGGGGTTCCTAGCAGTGATTATGTAAAGATGATTAACACAGGAGAATTGACAATCAGTCTTGAAGTGAAGAAGTACCAAGTAGTCACAGCTACTGTCTTTTGGGCTTAGTTAGTCAGGGCTTTTTGTCAGTAGGAATGTGGGGGAGCGCAATTTCGGTACCTCCAGCACTGAATGTATGTCATGGCAAGAGGTGCTGGGGGGGTGCTGGAGATTCTACTGATGTTGGCTGCTGGGGGATCTATTGTCACTGGGGGTTTGTTGTTGGGGAGGTCTAATGTTGCTGGGGGACTGTCTTATGTTGCTGGGAGGGATCTACAGTTGAGGGAGGAGTCTACTGTTGCTGGATGCTGGAGAGTCTGTTGATACTGGCTTCTGGGAAATCTATTGTTGCTGGGGGAGGGTATTTTGTTGCGGGGGGGTCTATCTTTGCTGGGGGATCTGTTGTTGATGGGGGGGTATTTTGTTGTAGGGGTCTATTGTAGCAGGGAGTGATCTATTGTTGCTGGCTATAGGGGATCTAATTTACTGCTTTATTGCTATCATTAATGCATTCCACACAAATTTCTTAGCACCTCAAAATGATACTTGCTTATGTATTCTCTAAAAGGTACAGGGAGGTGGGACGGGTGAGGAACCAAAGGACAATGCTCAGAGGTGGATGGGGGGGGACAAGAGGTGACTCGGAAAGGTGGAGTTCCTGCACCTATTCTCTAAGAAAAAAAAAACCTGGTTACAGTACTTGTTATGGCAATAAGAATAATGGCTTCTTTGGAACTGGCCTCAAGTGTAGGCAATGACATCTAACTCCTGAATTTAAATTAAAGTACAATAACCACCCACGCCAATAAACAACGAATACCTGTAATTCCTGTTTGCAGCTGCCAACCTCTTATCCCGAAGGATGTGAATAAATATGTACTACTGATGGCACTTGGTTCCTATCATCAGTGATATAAAACAAACTCTATAGCCAAATGTGCTCATAAAAACATTATGCTTCAAATTAATAAGTGCAAAGAAGTGCTTCTGAAGACGTTACGTTTTGATGACGAAACTTGTCAAGCAGAACTTCCGGTGCGTCACTTCTAGTCTCTTGTGCGATCAAAAGGTTGATTGCTTATAGGATTGCCTACATTTTATTTATTTATGGGCATATGCTTTTTATGTAAACCTTTTTTACACCATTAAACTATACAGTTTTACACTATGAAAGGATCCCCCTTCTCTTTTTTGGATCCATTTTAATGCCTTTGGAATACTGCCTGACCATTTGATGAGGAGGTGACTACGGAGAGAAGTGTCGACTAAGGGGGTCCTGGGGTGACCACAAAGCGCTATATGACTTTTTTTGCTGTATAACAGGGAGGTCAGTGGCATCTGGTGATTGAAGAGTATTTCTGATCATTGGAGGAGGATCACTCAACAGTGGCAATGGTGGTGTCAGGGCTCTGTCCACAGCAGAGGTACTCGGAGACCTGGCATTCCTGCCAGTTCCTTGCATGGCCGCAGAAATGCATGCTGGCAAAAATTTATGTGCACTGGTGCATAGTTACGCTTGTATTAGCCCAGTTTGGTGCCAGATGGCCTTTATTAGGAAGCCCATCACTCCCTCAAATTGCTGGTTGATCTCTGGCTCCCCAGTACCTTTGTCTGTGTTCCTTTGCTACTGTGATCTGCTGTTACCGACTTGGCTTGTTCCTGGACCTGTCTTCTCTGCCTGACTCCTGATCTGACCCTGGCTTGGCTAACGGATATTTGCACCTGCTCTCCTGATCTGACCCGGCTTGGCTAATAGATATTCTCACTTGCTCTCCTGTGTATGACCTTGGCTATCATATTGACTGTATCTGCTCCAATCTCCACCTGGCATCTGACCTTGGCTTTGAACCGACTACTCTGTGGTCCTCTGCTACCCCGAAGGCCTGCATACCTCTCACGGGCGCCATCTGTCTGCAGACACCATGCCATTGCATCAGCTGTGCTCCTGGGTACACCTCTGACAAGCACTCCTACAGGCGACCCATGCTACTTTGGGCCTGACTCCTTCTGTCCCATATCCAGGGGAGTCTGGAACTTAGCTGCAAGGGAAGCCCTCTCTCCATTGTCCTTTAACACTAGGTACGTGATAGGTGGATAAGAGCACTTTATATGGACTTCCTGTTTACCTACATTGTGTTGAAGTTTACGGTCAACACATGATTTGGAACGTATACCGTATATGATATGTGGACTTGTATTATAATTCTTTGCACTTATTCATTTGAGGCATAATGTTTTTATGAGCACATCTGAGTATAGAGTTTGCTTATACTGTATATCACTGATGATAGGAAGTGAGAGCCATCAGTAGTACATTTCAACTTCTGAATTTATTCAAATCTCAGAAACTAAAGTCAGAAGCTTTTGGTTTTCAAGTACCAGTGGTCGGTAATGGCTTAGTTTACACCTTGTGATTGGGGTGCGGAAAATCAATGTTCTAACTGCTGCCTGCAATCTTCATGCTGTGGTTTTGCTAATCAGAAATTTTACAAGCAGCATTTGTAATATTGCTAGACCAAACACTTATGTTGGAGGCTTGTCACCAAAGAACTGTCCTTGAGACCTATGACAAAAAGTTTCTCACCCTGATGCACATGTATCAGCTACTATGGCATTAAAGGATAAGTTCACCTTTTTTTCTAAAATCCAGTTTCCCTTATGTACCAATAAACCATTAATGTACCTCTGTTGCTGAAAAATAAAAGCTTTGTTTAATTTTGAGAACCTTGCTGTATTTCTTCATCATTTCCTGATATGTAGATTTAGGACAGAGAAGCCAGTGAGACACAGGAAGGAGTTTACCAGCTGATCTCATTAGCACACACATCCTGCACTGACCTCATTAAAACCCACCCCCTTCACCCATCAACTAATTTTTCTCAGCATCCCCAGCATCTCTCCACACGTGCATTTGCCTGGCTTCCCCAACATCCCTTCAGAGAGGCTCAGGCCCAGGGGCAGACTGACAACTCATGGGGCCCCCGGGCAATAGATGATCATGGGGCACCTGTGTCCTTGCCAAAACTCAAAAAAGCCTATGAAAAAGGTACCAGGCAGGGGCGGACTGACAACTCGTGGGGCCCCTGTTCAATAGGGGATCATGGGGCCCCTGTGTCCTTGCCCAAACTCGAAAAAGCCTATGAAAAAGGTACCAGGGGCATCTCATGGGGCCCCCTACTGACCCTGGGCCCTCAGGCAGTGCCTGAGTTTCCAAATGGTCAGTCCGCCCCTGCTCAGGCCACATCCTAAACTCTCTGGGGCTGCATGCGGCGCATGGGAAACCCCTGATGTAGTGCAAGGGCATGCCTGATTGGATACAGAGTGATTGGATAGATTCTGTGTCCTTCTATCATATAGTTATGGTAAATCTAAAGGAGATCGTACAGAGATTGTACAATCAGATTGTAAAGCGTATGGCCAGATTTATATATCTAAAATGAACTAGTTGCGCTTTCAGTGTCATTAATTGTTAACGGCGCACAAAACACAGAAGCAAATACACACTTTGCCATATGAAAAAATGGGTGGCAAATGCAGCAAAATGCACAGTAAAAAACACGTAACTCGCCCCAAGCCAAAATTCCCTATGAGCTACTTTGCCACGCGTAGCGCAGCCCATTGAAATCAACGGACTTCCCTATGTGTGTCACTGAAAAAACAAGCCAAAAAATATGCGCTCCCTCTACTCTCGGTGTGAATGGGGCATGAAAGTGAAATTGGTGCGTTTACACAAAACAATAAGGCTCCATTCACATCTATGTGTTTTCGATTCCAAAGCTTGCTGCAAATGTGCATCGTGATTGTGTTGTCATTACATGTTAAAGGCACCCCAAGTGCGGCAAATGCACCAAAAAGTGCGGTAACGCACAGTGCTCCACTCCACAAAAAGTCCTGGAGCTTCTCTGATGTGATTGTTGTGTGTCAAGTGAATGGGCTGCCCTATGCATGACAAGTGAAAACGCTCCAAAACACCCAAAACAAGTGCATGTGGGAATGTGAGTTTTTGCTACATGGAGATGTGGACGGGGCCTGACAACGAGTGTCTCCATCCACTCCCTCCTATGTACTTGTATAAAGATGGTCATACACTATGCAATCTGATTGTACAATCTCTGTACAATTTCTTTTAGATTTGCCACGACTATGGAATAGGGGCACACAGAGTAGAGATCAGCATAGGGGCACACAGATTGTAGAGATCAGCGTTGGGGCACAGCGCAGAGATCAGTGTTGGGGCACACAATGTAGAGATCAGCGTTGGGGCACACAGCACAGAGATCAGCGTCGGAGCACACGACGCAGAGATCAGCGCTGGGGCACACAGCACAGAGATCAGTGTCGGGGCACACGGCGTAGAGATCAGCGTCAGGGCACACGGCGTAGAGATCAGCGTTAGGGCACACTGCGTAGAGATCAGCGTCGGGGCACGCGGCGTAGGGATCAGCATTGGGGCACACAGCACAGACATCAGCGTTGGGGCACACAACGTAGAGATCAGCGTTGGAGCACGCGGCGCAGAGATCAGTGTCGGGGCATGCGGCGTAGAGATCAGCATTGGGGCACACAGCACAGAGATCAGTGTTGGGGCACACAGCACAGAGATCAGCGTTGGGGCACACACCGTAGAGATCAGTGTTGGGACACGGGCGTAGAGATCCGCGTCGGGGCACGCGGCGTAGAGATCAGCGTCGGGGCACACGGCGTAGAGATCAGCGTCGGGGCACGCGGTGTAGAGATCAGCGTCGGGGCACGCGGCGTAGAGATCAGCGTCGGGGCACACGATGTAGAGATCAGCATTGGGGCACACAGCGTAGAGATAAGCATTCGGGCACACAGCACAGAGATCAGCGTTGGGCACACAACGTAGAGATCAGCATCGGGGCACACGGCGTAGAGATCAGCGTCAGGGCACACGGCGTAGGGATCAGTGTCGGGGCACGCGGCGTAGAGATCAGCGTTAGGGCACACTGCGTAGAGATCAGCGTCGGGGCACGCGGCGTAGGGATCAGCATTGGGGCACACAGCACAGACATCAGTGTTGGGGCACACAACTTAGAGATCAGCATTGGAGCACGCGGCGCAGAGATCAACGTTGGGGCACACGGTGTAGAGATCAGCATTGGGGCACACAGCATAGAGATAAGCATTCGGGCACACAACGTAGAGTTCAGCGTAGGGGCATGCGGCGTAGAGATCAGCGTTGGGGCACGCAGCGAGAGGTCAGTGTCGAGGCACACGGTGCAGAGGTCAACATCGGGGCACGCGGTGTAGAGATCCGCGTCGGGGCACGCGGCGTAGAGATCAGCGTCGGGGCACGCGCGTAGAGATCAGCGTCGGGGCACGCGGTAGAGATCAGCATTGGGGCACACAGCATAGAGATAAGCATTCGGGCACACAGCACACAGATCAGTATTGGAGAGCACACTACTGTATAGAGATCAGTATTGAGGCACACAGCTATCTCAGGCAGAAGGTTGCACTGTGTCGACAGAACCTTCTATAGACTCCTCAGATAGAACCCATCTCGGAAGGAATTCAGCCTCTTTCGGTGTCATGTATAGATGATGTTGCGGCATCTGATTGGTCAGACAGGATTGTGAAATTTGCTTTGACATGTGAGATGTGATCAGTGTGCCGACCAGGGCACAGGAGTCATTGGACAGAACCGAACCTGGCCAGGGACACCATACCAGACACAACAGACAATGACACCACTCCGCCATCTCTGGTGATTGTCCTAGCCACAGAACCTGATCCCCTACACACCTCCCCCGCAATCCTGTCCTGTGACCCCGCACTCACTGTGATGGAATGTATTGGTGACGATGGGCAGTCCATGTGATCAGCGTTCCCATAGATAATCGATTTCCTGGGATTACCTGGTACTCCAGCTCCAGGGTAGCCCCCGTCTTCATAGTCTGGAAGAAGCACTCCCTCTGTCCGGCGAGCAGGGAGAAGGTACAGTCTCCATCTACCTTCTGGCTGAAGGCCAGTCTGCACTGTACACTCAGAGTCCTTTCTTCCAGGGGGTGATGTTCCCCTCACTCTCTGCCGTCCAGCCCTGGTGCCCAGGAGAACCAACATCCCTTCTTCCGGAGGGCGGCAATGCTCCCCTGAAAAATGCTGCCCAAGGCAAATACCTTGTTTGCCTTGTAGCAAATATGTGCCTGTATCACTCCCTCTTCTGGGATGCGACAATTAACCACTAGCCTACAGGGCACTTATACCCCCTTCCTGCCCAGGCCAATTTCCAGCTTTCAGCACTGTTGCACTTTGAATAAAAATTGCGCGGTCATACAACATTGTACCCATATTAATTTTTTATCATTTTCTTGTGACAGATAGAGCTTTCTTTTGGTGGTATTTAATCACCTCTGGGTTTTTTATTTTTTCTTAAACAAACCGAAAACCACTGAAAATTTTGAAAAAAAAAGTTTTTTCTTAGTTTTTGTTATAAAATTTTGTAAATAAGTGATTTTTCTCCTTCACTGATATGCGCTAATGAGGCTGCACTGGTGGGCACTGATAGGCTGCACTGATGGACACTCATAGGTGGCACTGATGAGGAGAAACTGGTAGGTGGCACTGATGGGCATTGACAGGCATCACTGATGGGCACTGAAAGGCAGCACCGATACATGGCACTGATATATGGCACTGATAGGCAGCACTGACTGGCACTGATAGGCAGCACTGACTGGCACTGATAGGCGGCACTGACTGGCACTGTTAGGCAGCACTGACTGGCACTGTTAGGCGGCACTGACTGGCACTGATAAGTGGCACTGACTAGCACTGATAGGCGGCACTGATAGGTGGCACTGATAGGTGGCACTGATTGGCATTGATAGGTGGCACTGACTGGCACAGATGGGTGACACTGAAAGGCAGCTCAGATGAGCACTGATATGTGGCATTGATGTGCACTGGTAGGCACTAATATGTGGCATTGATGTGGCACTGATGGGCACTGGCAGGTGGCACTGATGAGCACTGACACAACGCACTGATAGACACTGACAGGTGACACTGCTGGGGCTACACTGATCATCAGGGCACACTGATCATCAGTGCCCTGATGATCAGTGTACATGTCCTCTCCACGGAAAGCCGATTACCGGCTCTCCTCTCCAGCGTGACAGCTAGAGAGGAGAGAAATGCCGATAACCGGCATTTCCCTGTTTACATGCGATCAGCTGTGATTGGATACAGCTGATCACATGACCGAGCCGACATTTTCGGCTCTTTCTGTGATCGGTGATCCGCTGTGTCTGAGGGACACAGCGCACCGCCGATCGCCGCGCTCCGCACTCCCTGAGCCGCACATGCGTGGTAAGAATGGGAGGACATCATATGACGTCCTCCCAGAATGGGAGAACCACCTTGCGCCCGTCATTGGACTATATGGCGGGTGGGAGGTGGTTAAGTGAAGTCTTCTGGGAGATGAGCTACAGGAAGTGATGGAATCTGAAAATCATTTCAAATATTCAAACAAACTGAGTCTGGGCCAGAAATTGCATTAGAAAATGCTTCTATTTATTATGAAAGTGAAATTCTGCCCGGAAAGGTGAACTTATCCTTTACAGTGTATCTAAACTCAAAAATTCAGCTACCACATCTAAGGACTGTTAAGTTGCAATATAATACATTATGTCCTTGGATTTCACATGGATATACTGACCAATACTCCCATGTGAAGGGCTTATTTGCCCACATGTGGATGCAGAGATGTTCTATGTATCTACATGCAAGCACTTCTATTCATGCCTATTGGATGCAGCAGATGCATGGACAGAGTTGCTGGTCCCAATTTAACAGCCGTTGAGATACATGTTTATGTCTCTGAACACTCCCATATGGAAGAAAAATATATTTGAAATATATTTTAAAAAAATTCTTCCAAAATATATTGATATATATTTGAAATGCTACAATTTTGGCCATATTCAATATATTGCAAAATATATTTCATTTAAAAAAAATATATATATATATATATATATATATATATATATATACTGTATGTTGAAATGTGTTTTTATTACAAAATATATGAAAGACATTTTTAAAAATACACTTCAAATATACTGTATGTCTTTAACAAATCTACATTTTTTGGAATGCATTTACAAATATATTTAAACATATGTCAAAATGACTTTTTATATGTTAAAAAATCTGAAGAATATATTTAAAAAATACATATTTTTAAAAATATATATTTTTAAAAATATATTCTTCAGATTTTTTTTTTTTACATCTAAAAAAGTCATTTTAACATATATTGCACGTGATAGGTAAGTGAGCTCTCAAAGATCACTACAGCTGCTGAACACTGAAAGGTACCCACAGAACAACCTTCAGAGAATCATGTAAAATCAAAGCTCAGGAACTCACTCCAGGATAGGGTCAGGTTATCTGTTGTCCTCTGCCAGCTCAGCTATGGCTCTGGTCTCCTAGTGTGCGGCTCTGTGGGTAGTGAGAAGCTCCCAGGGAGCCCCAGAAAAAAGGAGGCCCAATAGTGTGATATTGCATCCAATAAGATGAATTTATTAATCCAGCAGAACAAGAAATGACAGCTACTGACCGTATAAAGTATCCAAGATGGCCACCAGGACCCACGTGGTGCCGACGGTAAGACGTCTCTGCACTGTAGCTCCTCCCCCATGAATACGTGCGGTTGCACGAAATGCGTCAGAGAGGAGCTACAGTGCAGAGACGTCTTACCGCCAACACCACGTGGGTCCTGGTGGCCATCTTGGATACTTTATGCGGTCAGTAGCTGTCATTTTTTGTTCTGCTAAGTTCCTGAGCTAACCTTAAGAGGGGTATCTCTTACATGCGCATACTGATTGTGCATTCGGTGAGTGCGCAATCTTTTATCAGTTTTGGATACTATCACCCTCAGATTATACTGCTGGAATCCCTTTGATTTTCCAATCACATAACCCACTGGGATATTGTGGACTATTTCTCACTTATCACTTGGTCGGTCACATCACAGTGACACTAATGATATTTACATATGTGGATTATATGTTCATTTTTTTGGCACTTGATATGCACTTATATATGTGTTTTGCGTGATAATTGTATACACCAAGTCACGTTAATATACATTTTCTGAAGCCCTTTATTATACTTTGATCATATATTTATGCTATATACATTACTTGTGATATTTTAAGCGCTGCGCCTTCCGTTTACATGATTTTAACATGTATGTTTAAATATATTTGTAAATGCATTCCAAAAATGTAAATTTGAATTTTTAAAGACATACAGTATATTTGAAATGTATTTTTTAAAAATGTTTTTCATATATTTTGTAATAAAAACACATTTCAACATACAGTATATATTTATTTATTTATTTATTTATTGAAATATATTTTGAATTATATTGGATATAGCCAAAATTGTAGCATTTCAAATATATGTCAATATATTTGGGAAGAATATATTTCAAATATATTTTTCTTCCATGTGGGCTGAACACAGACAATGTTAATTCTGGGACACGCACCCACACCTGCACAGCTGTCAAACTGGGACCAGCGGCTGGTTCCATGCAGCCATTGCTTTCCAAAAGTCATGAACAGGACTGCCTGCACAGGGATGTATGGAACACTTGTGCATCCTGCTCAGGATAAATGGACCTTCACGCAGGCATATGGATTTCTATGTCTGAGTGAATGAACCATTAAAGTGAACTTCTTTCTTACCAATATTGGGGTCTTTGGCAAGCTCTTCATATGAACTGTACACTTTTGGTATGCTGTGAGTTACTGCAAATTCTTTAGCACGCTTCTGGTCTTTTGCTGCAACAGCCACTGCCTGCAGGGTATAAAAATAAGAGTGGCTAGGATATTAAATGTAATCAAAAAAGATTATTGTGCATAATAGACAGAGATCATAAACGTGGAAGGTAGAATAGATGTTTATTGATGGTCTGTACAAGCGCTTACCTGTGCCTATAGCCCATTACTGGTGATGTGTTCGCTTGAACTAGCTAGACAGCAGCCAGCCTAAAGCTGGCCATTTACAGAGTGAATTTAACCTGGCTCCTGATGAACTGGCCAAAATGTGCTCAGTAGGTGGCCCTGGAGGCCCCCTCCCATTCAGATGAAGGGACTGCTTGGGTATTTTGACAGCTGGCTCAGCCACCTTTCAAACTATAAAAGCCACAGTCGGAGATTTGTCCATCCATGCTTGTGTAATGGCATCAGTTTGATGATTCTGAGATCATTTAGAATTCATTGATAAGTGCGTGTGACCTGCAGTTGACTTCTTTTGACCTGCTTTGGGTGGGCTTTGCATGGTCATAGACTTGTATAAGAATGCACTATCCTTTTGAAGCAAACAAGAACCCGTCAACATAGGATCTTAGATATGTTTTCTCCTGTGGACCTCAGAGAAGGCCTGTTCTGAGTACTCTGTTTTCTCTGGACCCTGGAAGATTATTTCTCCACAGGTAATATGGAATGAGCTCTTCTGCAACCTGCGAAAAGCAACCCACCTGAGCAATCCCACCCCTTGTATATGCGGGGCGGATGGCAATTGCTTCAGCAACTTATGATTGGCTCGGTACAGTGACAGCTTATTGGTGGGATCACTGAGGTGGGTTCAGACTAGAATTTGAACATGCCTGCGATCATCCTAATGCTTTGCATGCATTTTTCATGATGAAAAAAGGCTCTGGACAGCACCGGGAACTGGAAGAGTTAAAAAACATTTTCAAATGCAAACGCTTATAAACGCGATTTGCCACGTTTAGCCGCGTTTACAAGCATTTTGCATTTGAAACTGATAAAATCGGCTGCTGAACGCAAGTTTTCTGCATCCAAAAAACGACTGTAAACTCAAATGCCTGTAAATGACTGTAAACAAAGATGTGTAAATGGACACATAGGAAAACATTAGGGTGAGTTCAGGAGCTGCTGAAAAAAATGCTGAACAGCTCCTGAACGTGAGTTTATCAGCTGCAGTGTACATGAGCCCTAACAGGTACTGTTGCAGTAATTTTAGTTATTCTGTTCCCTCATCTTCTCTTAAAGCTGGACTCCAGGAATCTATTTTTTTTTTAATTTTACATAGGTGCAGCTTGGTTACATCCAATTCTCCATCTCACATCCAGTGGAACACTGGGGATTAAGAAATTCAGTGTTATTGCCCGTGCTACATACAGTCAGTGATGGTCTATCCTGAGTGCTGCTTGAACGGCTTGCAATCTGTACACTGAACATGGGAACACTCATTGAGCACCTACTGCACATCATTCAGAGAACATCTTGTATTTTTTCCAGTGAAAACAAAGCATGTTCTACTTGCACAAGGCAGAGAGGAGGGGTGGAAGAAGTCACAATACCCTATTACTATTGGCTTGTTTAAAGTGTATGTTAAGGCAAAACTTTTTTCTTCTTAGTTTTGGATAGTGTATAGAAGGTTTAGACCGTCTGACAAATTTTTATTGCTGTTTTTGTCCCTGTTGGAGATCACTGAGAAATGAAGTGATGGAAAATACAAATTTTTAGTATGGTCACAAGAACTTGATGTTAGGGTGTTCTATGGCAGCTGTGTTATAGGAGAATTTCCCTCACTATAAGTAAAGATTCCTTCACTTCCCATTGCATGTCCAGGACAAAAATGAAAAGAAAGCTACCATCATTTTATTCTACAGGGCCTGATAGGAATCAGCCTAAGTCTGCAGCCCCTGCCCTCGTTATTTTCACCCTCAGGCCTAGGAGAAATAAAGCTCCAGACACCGAAGTGTTCAAGCTAAATCTTTGAAAGTTTATTACAAAGTAAGAACTGTTATACAGAACTCAGTAGGCGTTGCTTCATCTTAGGATGACCAATAAAACTTTCCATTCTTATCAATATACCCTGTTTCCCCAAAAAATAAGACCTACCCCGAAAATAAGACCTAGTACTATTTTTGGGACTTGCTAAAGTATAAAACCTAACCCGAAAATAAGACCTAGTTGTGATCAGGGCTTTTTTTTTCAGCCGCAACATGGCGGAACGCCATTCTGCCACCTCCAGCACTGGCCCTGCGCTCACCCATATCTAATGTCTCTTATAAACACAGAAGTGCGGCTGAAGTGACAGCACCATCCGCTCCCACAGAACCTCCCTACCTCTGTACTCACTGTGGGACAGGGAAGGAACAGATATCTGCGGCTGCAGTATGCAGTGTGTTTAGGGGCGGGGCATCTC